TTCATATTCCTTTCTACCATTACCCATTCTGTTTCACTCTTATGCTTGTCAAACTGTATTGATTCTCTTCACTCATCTTCTTGTCTACCTCTGTGTGCTATTTGGAACGTGGCAACTGGAACTGGTGCACTTCGGTGCCAAGTTCTATGTTGAATCCAGACAGACAGAGACAGACTATTATTATTACTATTTAATCCAAATACTCACCATCATTGGTTTGCTTATAAATCTATGTAAATTAGAGTAAAGCCTGAAGAAGATCTAATTGAAAACAACAATATTGTTCGCTTGTGTATCTTGATCTACCCAATTATTCAAGAGTGGATTTTCCTCTCAACAGTTCTCTTCTGATATAATGTTTATCTGAAGGTTAAGTGATGTTAAAATCGAATATCTTGATCATGAGATAAAAGTTAGTCAGTCCATTAATTTCCATGGTTTACAGCAGTCAGTCAGATCTTCGCACACATCAAGTCACCACCTTCCTTTCTTCCTTTTTCAAAAAGTGATCAGAGGCAAAAGTGACTTCATTTCATGAAACCTTTTATCTTTGCTAATAAATAGCAACTAATCAGCAAATGTATTTCACAAGATTATTCAGCTTAGGTGTACGGAGAAAAGACGTGATGCACACTGATAGGAGGTAGCCAACAGTTGAAATCGATGTTTTAAGTCATTGGCTGTAGAGGTAGAAATGCTTATTGTGGACATGAAATAACTTGATTGGACAACTTGTTTAACCTTGAGTTATTTTTCGACCAATCAGAACAATTTATTCTCCTCTAGTCTAGACGAATTTTAACGTAGCTAAGAATGTATAAATATGATTGGTTTTTTTTCATAATAGAAAGGTACGTTACCAATTCACTTATCTTTAGTCGCTGCATTAATACCTGAACTCTTGTAAGCAAATGGCGTTAATCTCTATTACCATGTCGGTAGACTGTTATTTGTTGATGATAAATGAGTCATCGACAATTCATAACTTAATGTACACAATTACATACACTAGTATTTTCTAACTTTTCTGATAACTTAAGTAGTTTGTCTTATTATTATTATGTTATTCTCTTGTGTTCTGAGTGGAATATACGGCTGGCTTCAACAACACATCTCCACTTTCTTCTGTTTTCTGGCGTCCTCTTCAGCTGACTAGCCAAACACGATTACCCATATTGTCTGATCTCATCTTCACACTATCTCCTCCTCGAAACTGGTCTCAGGTTGATGAAGGCGTATCTTGCCTTTCCGATTCTGCCTGGCTGGCTTTTGACATCTTCGTTAGTTCTGCCTGTATTTTTACAGAGATGCTTCCTAGATAAGTGAAAGAGGCAACCCCTGTTAAACTTCTAATGTTGGTGGTGATTGGTGCTGGTTGTTGTTGTTGTTGCTGTTGATCGGCTATCCTCATCACATCCATCTTCTCTATGTTCACTTGGAGTCGTGTTTTCGCTGCCTCTTGTCTTATTATAACTTATAATAAATTATGCACATATTAAGTGGATTAAGTGGACGAGGATGTCAAATCGAGAATCGGGAAGGCGAGAAACACATTCATCAGCCTGAAATCAATCTGGAAATCTTCGTCACTCACTCAGCATCACCAACAAAATTCGGATTTTCAATACAAACGTAAAGTCAGTTCTTCTATACGGATCAGAAACTTGGCGGGTCACAAAGAATATTTCCAACAACCTGTTGCAGACCTTTATTAACAACTGTCTTCGCTCAATACTGAAGATCAGATGGCCGGAAAGAATCACCAACAAGGAATTATGGGAACAAACAAAGCAAGAACCAATCGCCCAACAAATATGCAGGAGAAAGTGGAGATGGATCGGACACTCGCTGAGGAGACCGCTGGGTGACATCGCGCGCCAAGCCCTCGAGTGGAACCCGAAAGGGAAGCGGCGTGTGGGACGTCCAAGGGTGACATGGAGGAGATCGTGTGAAGAGGAGTTGAAAGAATATGGATTAACATGGATGCAGGCGAAAAGTATAGCAGAAGACAGAAGAAAATGGGGACGTGCAGTTGAAGCCCTATGTTCCACTAGGAACCCAAGGGAGCAATAATAAAAAAATAATAAGTGGAGTGTTTCGTTTACTTATGAAAGCCTCTGATTCTTTCTTTATTAGGTCGAAATAATAAAGACGAAATATAAAATGGAAAAAGACTACTCTAAAAGATAGGTAGTGCGGTATATACTACTGGTGACAATGAGTAAAAGTTGTAAGTTGTGGGAAATTTGTCAATGAGCCATTCATAACAAAGTGTTATAAGTATGAAAGAAAGTGTTTAAATGATAAGGAGAAAAACATTTTCTTTTTTTTTCGTTCAGCAAAGAAATGTAGTTTCTTTTCAACGACTTCATATTCAGTTCAACTGTACAGTCGTATATACACATTACGGAAAAAGGAGGTATTAACTGGCGCTAGAAACTGGCTCAGTCAATATTGCACAAATGATGATAAGAATAAAGATAATTTAAATGAGGTGCTAAGGGGGAGGGGTAGAATTGAAGTGGATGAATTACAAAACTTTTAAAGATTATTAAATAAGTGAACTGGTATAAAAAATTTTAAAATTGTAGGTCAGGTGTTGTCTGAAATATTAAGAATAAGTTGATGATAACAATAAGGACGGTGAAGGTAAAGTGAAGTGTGGAATGAATTCAAGTGGTAAAATAGAATAAAATAAAAGAACATAAATATGTAAGTATAAAACTTGGGCACTGTGGTAGAGTATAAGTCCATTATGGATAAGATTTTATTTCGATAAATCACACAGTGTTGTACAGTTATATGAACTGGATGACGTTTCGAGCACAAACTATTGCTTATAATCATATGAAGTGATTATATCAGTAATACATACGGTCTTCCGACTAGGAAGCTTATCAATAAACTCACACAACTTTCTCAAACAGAAGCAAGATTCACAAACCATCGGATTTTTAATAGTCGATGTTTAAAAAATCATATAATTCCTAAATATTTACCCATACGCACTCCAATTACTTCAAAGAAAATATCATCAGCAGGTGAATATCTCAGTAGATTATGTCTAAGAGAAGAACTACATCGAATTACTGTGAAACTAAATAATATACGAAATGAAATAGAAAATCTCAAACAAAAATTCAAATGTATTGTCAATGACAAAGATTATGTAATCGTTGTTGAAACATCCGAAAAAGCTAGAGAATCAGCCTTACGAAAATCAAAAACCACACAAATCAAAAAATTCAACAAACTAATGGAAGAAAAGAACACAACAAATGAAATTGATGTCAACACTTCATCCTCTATCGACAGAACAAAATGGGTGGTCAACCTCTCATCAAGAGAACTAAGCTCTAGTGAGATAAAAGTACTTGAGAAAGGATTAAATTTCAACGTAACAGTTAATAAATTAAAACCAGAGGATGTTATTCCTAACATAGAAGTAGCAATAGGTTAAGTAGATAAGACAACAGCGGAAGAGGTTAGACCACAATGTGCATTAACCCTGAAAAATCAAAAGAAAGCAAAATCAAACTTAACAAAATCGGAAAGAGAAGCTTTAATTAGTCTAAAACAGGATAAATATATTGTCATCGCTAAAGCTGACAAAGGAAACGCCACCGTAGTTCTAAATAAATCTGACTATATCAAAAAAGTTACTGAATATATTCAGACGGGTCCATATGAAGAAATTAAGAAGCCTGTAGATACAATAATGAATAAGGTTAAGAAATCTAAAGCAGAACTGGTACGCAGAATGAAGCCGTCGTCACTGGGTGAGTCTAAATGGTTTAATTTAATGCCTAGAACATAACTATGACCGAGATAAGGAAAGGGGTTTGACAAAACACTTTTGAATACTTCATTTGTGTTTCTGTCCATGTATAGCTAGAGCTTCGGCTTGCTATGCATAAGTGAAGAAAACGTAAGCTTTTGGAGTGATTGGATTTAGTCCTGTAAATAACCTTAAAGGATAAATTACGTGAGGTTGAATGACCTAAACCCAGGATGTGTTCACAAATTAAAGATTTTGTCGTCATATGCTCATCTTTCATTAACCAAACAGGGTGGTAGTGTTCAGTCACGCGTTTAACGAGAACACACTTACAACGTCCACTGTTGTCAGCTCTACGTGAGCATGTGAATGAGTATATGCACATAGAGGTGGACATAAGCGATAGATTATCCTTAACTTACTGTCGAGTCATATTTCGACTGGTAAATACCAAATGTAAGTCAGCTGCATAAAAAGAGCGTTTAATACATTTAGATAAACGACTTTTAGTTACTTCAGAAATAATGTCACTTTTGAACGCCAAACTCATAAACAGTTTCTTCTTTGGCCTTGTGATTTGGCTGGGGATGGTGTCTTTCTTAATGTTTCTGTCGATAAACCTTCCAGGATATCCATTATTTAAAAGAGTTGTGAGAAGGCTTTCTATTCCTATGTTGACTATATCTGCAGAGCAAATTTTGCGAATTCTGGAGTATAGAGAACGGATAATATTTCTCTTCTTGTCTAGATGTACCCAACTGCTGAAGTTAGTATACTGACCTGTAGATGGTGGCTTTCCGTAAATCGACCTTTTCAACTTGCCATCTTCTCTTCTACCTAGCATCACAACCAAGAAGTGAAATGCGGAATTCGACTCTTCTTCGATGGTTGAGAACCACTAAATTTTCGAAGAAGCTAAGAAGTTGAACAGTTATCACCATAAATAATAAAAGTATCGTCAATATATCGCCTATACATTTGCAGACTCGAGATTGTTTCTTCCAGTGGTCCACTTCAATAAGCTCGTCATGAAGACTTCCTCTAGAGAAGGCCTTAATGAAGACCTCACAGTGACTCCACCCCCGTTTGATTACAGATGATATCGTTAAATGTAAACTGTACATTAAGCGTCTTTCTCAATAAAAGCTGTTTTAGGTAATTAGTTGGCACTCCAATATTTATGCTATTACTAAATGCATGTCTTTTTTTATATTTCGAACAGGTTTTAACATAACTAACTTGTATACAACAAAAAATAATGAGGCTTGTCTATCAGTTAGTCGTGTCAACGCCGTGAATCGACTGCGTCAAATGAATTGGATAACAGATGAAATATTATCGATGCATAAAACACCTTTACAGCTATTAAAAGAATTAATTCGTGTACAACGTTCAAAACTGCAACAACAATCTGATGAATTCTATCTCTCTGAAATTCCATCAAATGATGAAGCTGTACAAAGTGAATTGGCTAAATTTCATGAAAGAGTGAGTGCTATTACTCTATGAATTCTTTTGATTTAACTTTTTGCTTATTAAGACAGTTTTTAATAAATAGTCAGCAAAGAGTTGAAATCAATCGATGATGTGGCTAGGAGACGTGCTATGGATGCTTAGCTATTGATTTCTTGGTTGAACAATAGTAAGCATAAAATAGGATTAGTCTGGGAAATAATTATGTGGGTAGAAGGCAAATCAAAACCAATCCAATACTCACAGGTGTTCCAATAGTTCTCTAACTGGTATCAGCTCATGATGAAATCCTCCAAGTCTTTGATTGTTGGTCTAAACCACATACAAATGCATAGACTGCTTTTCTTGACTTTCTGGGGATGCTATGAACCAAAAGCTTGAAATTGTTGGTAATATGACACAAAATCTTTTTTTTTATCGTTGACTCAGATGTCTTTACTCTTTATGAACGCTATCAAATTCTTATTATTCTCCGTTTAGTTGATATTTACCAAGTGTTTACTTGCAGGGATTTCATTTATTACAGCTATGATCACGAGCACTGGAGGACTGTTTCATCCTACTTTCTAACTCTTCATCAGTACTTAAACACCGGAGTTCGAATCCCGTGCCTACTGTTTCGAAAGCGAGCTCATAGACCATTCAGACACTGGTACCCTATCTAAGAGCCCATGAATTCCTACTTCTGTCACTTCTATATATATATATATATATATATATATATATATACAGAGAGAAAACACAGACAGCGTCGTAGGCGAGTAACTAAGCTCTTACTTGGATGGATGGGACGCTCTGGTTACGACCAGGTCATCCAGTTTTCCTCTGGTTGGTGACACCTCATGACCAAACCTGTAACCAATCAAATCCCTTCAAACCAATACTTGATAGATAATTAATTTGATGCCCAATAGTGATTGGCTCTATACATTAAGTTATCTGGAGTTTTGTTGAGAAGTTGTCACCAGCTGGATCCACCAAATTAAGTAAGAGATTGGTTAGTATTTCTTCTGTACAGAATGAGAAGGTAGTTATTTATTCCTTCAGGATAAAAAAGGCTAATATCCAGAGATTACAGCTATTTATGTAGTCATTTTACATTGATCAATAATTTACAAGGTTTGACGCTATGACAACTGTCTTCTGGTTGGTTAGTAGGGTGTCAACCAATCAAAATTCAATGATAGATTCTTTGTTCCTGGTTTAGACTGAATGTTTAGTGCAAAGCTGAGAGCGGGACCACATAGGAATAGAATGTCTTCTCAACTTCTTGTTAAAGTAGATTACATTCTGAGTACACTGCAGAACACCAAAAGTGTATTTGATCATTGTAGACTGGTTCATCAATGATTTGCTCGATATTGAAACATTGAATAGTTTATTACTTTAGTGCTCTTTGTTGTTTAAAACGACTTACGTATAACCTAAGTAGAGCATGACTGATTATGTAAATTTTAGATTTTACCTTTATAAAATTAACGTGTGTGTGATAAATCAGACTCATCACACTTTTACACAAAACGGAAAATCAATAAAGATAGAAACATGTAGATGAGATAAACAAAAATATAGAAAAGTGAGGTGACGAATAGTTTTTAACAATCAAGCAATTATTTAAATGTATAGTGCCTTATAGACTGATTCTTCGTTTAACATGATTGATATGAGGGTACTCGCACTATTGATCAGCATCTAAGCTTATCACCTGTATATGATACTGTAAGTGAATAAATGCGTTAAAAGTGACTGGTCAGTTGACACTTCTGAATAATAGGTATTGTTATCCACTTGTGTTTTGCGACAAGGAAAGTAGCACTTTATCAGGACGTCTGAAAATCAGTTTAATGTCTGTTTTAGTTGGCCTCAGGATTGCTGAAAAGCTTTCATCTTCTAAATACACGCGATCTCCTCCATGTCATCCTTGAACTGTCAACTTTGATTAGGATCACAATCTAGCTCCTGGCATTCGATGTCATTTAATGGTCTTTCCAAAGTACGCTTGAAGTCTGTCTCCGTTTCCTGTTATAAGGCGATAGGTTTATCGATGATTTGGTACCGGAGTTAATTTTTGTTTGTCGTTTCTGGTTAGCACTCACGAGGTGTGCAACATTGATGGCACTGAAATTGAAACCAACTCGGAAATTAAATACCTAGGCGTCATTCTATCTGCTGATCTTTCCTGGTCATCTCATATCTTGACGATTTCTAAGAAAATATTCCGTCTTACCTTCTACATCAAGAAGTTAAGACATTCTGGTGTAACCCAACCCTTACTCCTACAATTCGTTAACTCCCGTATTCTGCCTATTATTCTCTATTGTTCCCCCTTAGTTTTTCCTGGGCTGGCTATTGAAGAAAGACTATACCTTATTACGTAGGATGTTAAAGGTTGTCAGCAGGGTAAGCTACGTGCCACTTAACCAGCTTGTGTTAATATTCTAGTCAACAGGCTCATGTGAAAAATGAGTTGAATCTATTCTATCTATCTAACTCACACCACCCTCTTCATTCACAACTCTCCCCTTGTATCTATCTCATCAGGGAAAACCAGAAGCCTATATAGAAGACTATATGCCAGCACTAGTAAGTACAAAAACTCAGCCATGCCCTAGTTAGCTCGTGTTCTGTGCGATAAAGAAAGCATTAGGCGTGAAACCTTTAACTTATTAAATAGTCAGTAGAACAACTGGATCTCGTCTTTCCAACTCATATCACTTATAGGTACATCGTTTTCTCTCTACTTTTTTTCATTTTGTCTTTATTTTTGTTAAGTGCTGCTTTGTTTCTCTCCTCCTTACAAACTCTACTTAAAACATTCTTCTTCGTTCTTTCACACTCTGTATATCTCGACCATTTTGCTATTGCTTACGCCAGTAAATATGCTAGTAGTATCTACTTTTCTAACACCTTCAAACACTCTGTTTAAATTTTGGCTTTGCTACCGACATGCTAATATGTTGTTGTCAAAACTGACTGAGATAACCTTAATCTATGTCGAACTTTATTTATTGTTAATGTACTAACTGGATGCAGTATACTGTAGTAAAATGCTGAGAATTTCATTCTGTATCACAAATACTGATTTGGAATAAAGCTATTATCTTATCTTATATAATCTTCATTCCAGATATTCTAGAGTTGTTTTTCATTGTCAGTCTAACGTGTGTACATCTTCCTCGTTCTCTATAGGTTTGTTGCGAGAGCTTGTTCATCGAAATAAGGAATATCATTGTAGTTGATTTGTAAGGATTAGTTTTGTTTTTACGAGTTTATCTAGGATTGATATCAGTTAGAGAACCATTGAAAACCAGCCAGGGAGTACTGGACAGCTGTTTCATCCATCATCAATCCGTGATCAGCTCCACAAAATAAAACTAACCCTTACAAACGAATTATAGAAAATGAAACTGATGCTGGCTAGTGACTGGCTACAGTAAAGAGTTTCCTGGAATTCTAGTGAGAAGTCGTGACCAGTGAGGTTCATCCAGATGTCAAGTGTGAGGATGGATGTCCTACCGATGACACTGGTTGGGGTCCCACTGTATTACGAATTGTTAGAAGTTAGAATTCATGGGCTGGCCAATGAATCGAGTCCCACTGGCTGAATGGTAAACGAGCTTGTTTACTTGTAACCGGAAGGTTCTGGGTTCGAACCCTGGCGGTGGATGTGCACTGCCAATGATTCCAAAGCTAGTTGGAGGAAACAGCTGTCCAGTAATCCATGCTGGCTTTCAATGGTTCTGTAACTGATATCAATCCGTGCTCAACTCGTAAACTATCATTATTAATTATTTTAAGTAATCCCAGAGTGTTTAAGGCAAAATCAAAACAAGATTTTTCTGAATGTTACGTGGTGAAGGCCGCCACAGCTTCTTCAGTATCAGAATTATCCGGATTTTTATTATTCATCAGAATATTTAGTCGAAAAAATCACATTAACCGAAATGACTTCCTTTGAAGCTCATGTATCCGTAGACATTTGTACCAATAGAAAAGTGCGTACTAAGCCATCATGTATCTGTAATAACTCATGTCGAATTGTCATATGTGCACATTTGTCTGCATGAGTGTGTGTGTATGCTGTTTATTATGTGGAAAACACGTCAAAACATGATTTTTTTTTACAGAGGATTGAATATTTTTGCATTTTCTCCCATCTGTCTTGCTTCATTAGAGTCTGCCATATAGGTGATGAGTCTATACCACCTCTCCTGTTTATTGCATTCGATATGGTTGAGATATGCAAGGCCCAGAGGTCAGCCTTTATTTATGTGAATAAAAGCCTTTTCCGCTGTCTGTTGCATGCATTGCTATAGCTGATCTTTTTTAAAGACTGCTTAATTATAATTTATTTTTAGGCGGACGTTTCGTAGACAGCCTGTGTTCCTTTTAATCTGACCTCCACTTGTCGACTGCTTTCCCCTATACATAGTAATCTTCATATACTGAACACTTTATCCTATAGACACAGTTGTTTTGTATCATTTTGGGGAAACATAACTTTTGATATTCTTCAAAACTTTCTTTAGAGAAATATCATTGTTGATAGTAGATAGCCTTGTCGTACTCCTGTCTTCATTTTACTGGCTTCACGGAACCTTCCGTTGTGAATCACTTGTGGTGGATAGCATCATCATATACCTATTGAATGTGGCTGTTAAATGTTTGGCGTACTCCATAGTGTCAAAGTACTCGTAATTATTATTATTATTATCTCTTTTAGTTCCTAGAGGAACATAGGGCTTCGGCCGCATATCTCCATTGCATTCGGTTCTCTGCCAACGTTTTCACCTGGCTCCATGTCTGCCCACATGCCTTCATCTCCTCTTCGCATCACCTCTTCCATATCGCCCTTGCACTGACGATTAATTCGCCGCTTTCCATTCGAGTTCTACTCGAGTGATGGCCTGGCGTGTAATATCACTCACTTGATGGTTTTCTCAGAGTATGGCCAATCCACCTCCATTTCTTCCTACATATTTGTTGCACAATTGGTTTCTGCTGGGTTGATTCGTTCATTGTCAGAGATTCCTCACTGCTGCCGATCTTTTCTGGCTGACCATCTGATCTTGAGTGGTATTGAACGAAGACAGCTGTTGGTGAAAGTCTGTAGTTTGTTCTAAGAACCCTTCGTGGCACACCAAGTCTCTGATCCGTATAGTGAGTAGCACTGAATTCACATTGGAGTTGAAAATCCGGATCTTAGTTTCATTTTCATGCTGAGTTCTGAGTCTTGATCTCCATACAGACTTGAGAGTAATGAAAGCTTGTCTTGCTTTCCCGATCGTCGAGCTTTGACGTCCTCATCAGTTCCGTCCGCCTGTAGTTGAAACGATGTCTCCCAGGTGGGTTGGTAGGTAGGTAGGTATGTAAAGGAGGTTGTTTCTTTCAGGTTCCTCCCATTTATGCTGGCTGATTGTTGTCTGTTGTTGTGTTTGCTGTTAGCCAGGAATCTTCATCACCTCTGCCTTCTCTATGTTCACCTGAAGTCCTAACTTCTCTGGATGCTTCTTCTGCCAACTTGTTGCTGCTTTTCACCTGCATATCTTCCAAGTTTTTTTTTTGGCAATCAGGCATGTATCATCGACGAAGTCCAGATCCTCAAAGTTTATTTTTCTAGTTGACTGAAATTTCTGAAGAAAATTACATGAATTGTAAGGAATCCTGTCTTCTAATGACAAGACGACCTTCACAATTCATTTATTGATTTATCATAAATAGTACAGAATTTAACTTTATTATTAATTTTCTTCTGATTTTCGTTTTGTCACTAAATGATCTACTTACTCATCAATCGATCCTACTTAAACAATCCAGTTAAGTCAATTAACTCAAAACAATATTGATTCAATAAAGCAATTCAATGAAACTACAACAATTGAGATTTACAATGATCTTACAGATACCTGGTCAACAGTGAAATCTAATCAAATGAACTTAATTATCATCCGTTATGATGAATATAACACCGGAGAGGCTATACATCCGACAGATAACAATATCAGTAGAAATAAACATCAGATTCTTTTGAATATATTGAATAAAATAAGAAAACATGAGTAAGTTAACTATCAATGTATTCATTATACTTCTATTAACTAACTTCTTGTTTTGTTTAAAAAATAAAGACGCGTGTGTGTGTATGCTGTTGAAGAGGTCAAAACAAGGACGAAAGGAATTTTATATGCTGATCGTATCTGGACTCAAAAATTACAAAATTTATTACTCAACTTGCAGATTTTGGAAATCTGAGAAGATTATGTATCTGTCTGTCTATCTAACTGAATAACTCACTCACTGGAGTCAACTGCAAACTTCTCATGTAACAACAGAAGACAACGGTCAGGCAACAGATCGTTTATTAAGGAAATCAACACATATTTATAGATTTTCATGTACACATTATAGATTATTGTTAGCAGAAAAACACAGTCCTCTGATTGGTTGTTTCTCACAGAAAGTTAACCTTGCATCTCTTCAGATCATCTGTATATTAACTGTATCCACCTACGCAAAGCCTTTGTTCTCACTTATCTCACGACCAATATTGGGGACATAAACATTGATGTAAATTACTGTCCACCAATTTTGACTAGCAGGCAGCTCTCACCACACTTATATTTCATATTATGACATATTTAGAGAGAACATAGATACTCAAATGAAGCAGCGCAGAAAAGCCTTATATAAAATATTGATGACTCTCAGTCACCTTAATGAACGACAGCGAAAGTATCCAACATTTGCGGTGGTGGTGGTTGGTGGTCGGAGGAGTGGAATATGAGCGATGTTGGATTTTTCCATTTATCTAGTATAGCGACAAGTCCAATTATAAGAAGCGCTTAAGATAAGCTTCATCCTTATTAGTATCTGTCTCAAAACTTCAGTAGTACCTACAGGAATTGACAAGAAACAAATTTTTGTTGAATTCATATGGACTATCATCAAGATTTGGCCAAACTGTTCCAAAATGATTGGTCGCCAGGTGATAAGTAGACATTTGTAAAAATTATATTGATAAAATCTCAGCAAAACTGAAATGAGTAATTATAACGTTTTGTTCTGCAAAATGGTCCTAACGTCTTCAGGGAAATTAATCAAAATAATATATATATATATATATATATATATAAACGCGTATTTATATATATTTTATGTACATTAATAAGGCTTATGCAAGCAGAAAAAGGCAGTATTCTAATTGGTTGTTTCTCGGAAAATAAGCAGACAAACACAGTCTTCTGATTGGTTGTTTTCGATATTTCTCTGAAAGTAGAGCCATTTATCTGCGAATCATATTTGCCCTCGTTTAAGTTTGCTGTGATTGGTTGTTGAATCAGCCTAGATTAATGTCTACCAATCAGCGTCGATTAATGTCTACCAATTGGCTAGCAGCCTGCTCTCACCATATATATATATATATATATATATATATATATATATATATATATATATATAAACAGAGGTTTGATTAATGAAAAGTATACCTTGGCTCCCTTGTCTTGTCCTCTGTTGCTCCAATATTAGTATTATAGGGCCAGTGCGTCGGTGGCACAGTGGTTAGGACTCTCGCCGACCATGCACATGGTCCGGGGTTCGAGCCCGCACCGACGCACACTTGATATCTATGGTTGGCCTGCAAAATTTGAGCTACCGATATCCATGATGAAAATTCCATACTTGTACCAAAAATACAGTGTGGAATCAAGCTGTAAATAAAAAATAAAAAATAAAAATAAAATACAATAGAATTCGAAATAAGATGTTTTTATAGTAAAATAAATAAATAACTTATTAGAATGTTATTATGTACGTGAGCTGAAATAGAATTTTAAGATTATTTATTATCCTACTTTGATTTGACTGACTGATGGTAATAATGTCTTCCATATCTCTGCTATTTGTATTGAGTCACTTCTGTTGCATGTGTTGGGTGTAGACTTGATAAACCAGGCAGGATTCAGTAATCAATCTCTCTCTCTCAACCCACTTATATTACCTCTTGGAATTTCGACTCTGTCCCACCCACTTTATTGTATGGTTGTGTGTTACTGCATGTAGTGCAATTGCTGAGTGTTTTTCTAAATTACTTGTCTTCGTGTGGTCAACCTTTCTTACCTTAGATAAATTCTTATGTTCTGACAATCTGACTACCCCTGACCTACTAGTTTGACCTATGTAATTGGCTTAACTCACAGTCATTGGAAGGTATTTTGTAAATTATATTACTTTTGTTTAATTGTGTGGTTTCTTTTTCATTCCTGTATGTTCCCAGTGGAACATAGGGCTTCAAGCTAGAGCCTTGTAGTTTCTGTAACAGGGGTGCTGATTTTTACGGGATGAGGTTGCTAGCCTCATGCCCAACCTTTCCTCCTTACCAGTCTTGTTGTTGGCTTAGTAAGGTAAGGGAGGGCGTCGGCCGGGAATCGAACCCCGGACCACATGTGTGGTTGGTGAGTATTCTACCCCTGCGCCACCGACGCAATTGTGTGATTTACTTCAGTTCAGTTTATAATGGTAATAATCAACTGTGATGATAATGATTTTGATCCGAAACACATTTAGGACATTCTGACCACATACACACGAGTACTTCTCATACATACTTATGCAGAATCCAAGAGAGCATGAATTATTACAATACAGATGAAGATCACAAATAAGAGGTAGGAAGATGACGTAAGGCTGTGCTTTTGAACCTTCCTGGGTTATCCAATTTAGAACCAAGTTTGAATTTAATTCATTTTTAGATTTTCCTCTCAATTGAATTGAATATAATTGAGAATATCCGTCGCACATGAGGTGGCTGTCATGGCTGAAGTGTTCTAATGGAGAATGCCTTGGCGTTTGAAGCTATGAGCACTGGGTTAGAGCCTCAGTGGGAACATCAACACACACTATGAAGTGCAGATACATGCAGATGACTAGTCCCAAATAGAACGAAATCCGCATACTAGTGCATTCCACTGTTAGTCGCCATCCACCAATTGACTCCAAGGTTGAAATTTACTCAATGATATTTTCACCCTCTCTGTTCTTTTTTTCCTACCCCATACCCTAACATCATCTTTTTACCTGTTACTTTGACCTCTATTGTAATAATTCATACTCTTTTACCTCCTACATAAATGTGTCCGAAATCTATTGCGGAAATACAACATTGTACGTTTCAGATGAACTACGTCATCGTATTGTTTTGTCTAGAATTGTAAAGGGAACTCCGCGAAAAATGTCATCCACATAACTCTGATACAGTAAATGCATTGAGTGATGTGTGTTCCTCAACTCCTTATACTATCTTTTACTTTTAACATTAAAAAGTTAAGATACTCAGGCTTGACTCAACCCTTACTCCTACTACAGTTTGTGAACTCCCTCCGGCATCTTCCCTATTATTTTTTACTGTTCACCCTTATTCCATCCTGGATTACTTGAAGAAGACTACTACTACTACTACTGTTACGACAGAAGACAAGGGCCAGTCAACAGATTGTTTATTGAGAAAATCAACAGATATTTATAAATTTTCATGTACATTATTATTCGTTATTGTTAGCAGGGAAGCAACGTCTTCTGATTGGTTGTTTTCTTGCTGAAGGTTATTCTGTCATCTCTTTGTTACCGTTTCTTAGACATTCCGGTGATATATCTGCGAATCGTATTCAACCACGCTAAGTCTGCTGTGATTGGTTGTTGAGTTCCTCAAGATTAGGCTTTGTTGTTATTGTTCTTTCTCATCACCTCGATTTGGGACGTAAACATTGAGGTCAATTGTTGTCGACAATTTTGTCTTGCAGACAGCTCTCACCACACTACTACTTTGTAGAACTCTGAAGGCTGTCAGTAGGGCGAGTAGTAGTATCCCATTTGGCCATATTGTTGACGTCGTCAGTATTGATTAATTTCATGCAATAAAATGGGCTAAAGGGATTTTTTCAGACCAGCAGCTTCCGCCTTTCACCAACTCGGATAGAAGAAGAAGTCATTTCGTCAAAGGACTTTACGCACGCGCACATCTAAGTGTATAACAATTAAACAATACCATATTTAGCCCCCGTATTTTATGTGATGAAAATAGTGTCAGACACCAAATAACTAACTAACCTTCTTTCCACTAGTGAATCAACAATTTTCTCCATGAAGTTCTCCTGTTCCTCTTAAATTTATAGTCCACTGGTTTTCATAACTGTAAACACCATTTAGGCTCTGTAATAATTTTGATTTTTTTGCTCTTTTCCCTCACCATGTTGTGTCAAGAGAAGATTAGATTTCCATACTGTATAGACAACATTGTTTGAAATAAACCAACTGTTGTTATCACCATTATTATTATTATTGTTATTATTATTATTATAGTTATTATTCTCATTTTATAGTGCACATTTGTTACATTATTCGTACTGTAATTGTGGAGACTTTCCCTTGGTTAATTTTATTTATATTTTGAGTAAATTAGATGTAATATTTTGACAAATACTGAAAATTCCATGCTGTATCATAAACGCTGCTTTTTGGAATAAAACAGGTCACTATTATTGTTGTCATCATTATTATTCAGTGTTTTCAGAAACAGTGTTATCCTTTGTATACAATTGGTGGATGGTGGCTAGCAGTGGAATCCAGGATGCGTATTTCGTCCTGGATTCCACTGCTAGCCACCATCCACCAATTGTATACAAATCAAATCCCCAGACATCGTCGAAGCATCTGCACAAGAAGCCGACATGTCAACCTGAGACCGAGCACTTCAGTCCAATCAATCGACGGGAAAATCAAAAATTCAATTCAAGTGTTATCCTTTATTCCATTGAATTAATTATTTTCGCATTTTCTTCATAGATTCATTCTAGCTGCCTTGTATTTGGGCTACGTTGACAAAGTACATATCAGTCTATTCGATAGAGTCCAGTTGAAAAACTGTCAAAATAATAAGGTAAGTTAATCAGGCACGTTTAGACAAGTAAATGTCTTATATTACAGATAAGTTTTATTTAAAACAGTCATTTCCCTTTATGAATTTAGAGAAATCAATAAGAAGATGTAATTTATCTGAATCGTGTTGTAATGTATTTGCACGCAACATTTATTTCGAACAATGTGATCACACACACACACACACACGTACTTGGTGAAGAGTTAAGAGGTGAGAAAATAGACAAGTTAGGTCAAGTTAAAAGGACATATTGAAGATCAAAATAACAATGAAGATCAATCACTAAACCAAATAAGACAGATAATAAATAGTACATCCGCCCTGGTATCAAAATGAAGTTTACCAAGGAAAGTTTAGTGTGATGGTGAATTGTTCCCCCTTAGTTTTTCCAGGGCTGGCTACTAAAGAAAGACTATACCTTATTACACAGGATGTTAAAGGTTGTCAGCAGGGTAAGCTACGTGCTACTTAGCCAGCTTGTTGATATTCTGGTGGACAGGCACATGGACTCATGTGAAAAATGGGCGAAATCCATTCTATCTATCTAACTCACAACACCCTCTAAATTCACGACTCTCCCCTTGTATCTATCTCATCAGGGAAAACCAGAAGCCTATATAGGAAACTATATGCGCCCGCACTAGTAGGTACAAAAACTCAACCATACCCTACTCGGCTCGTGTTCTGTGCGATAAAGAAAGCATTAGGCGTGAAACCTTTAACTTACTAAATAGTCAGTAGAACAACTGGATCTCGTCTTTCCAACTCCACATATCATTTATAGGTACAACGTTTTTCTTTCTTTTCCTTTTCTTTCTCTTTTTTTCTCTCTGTTATGTGCTGCTTTGTTCCTTTCTTCTGCTTATGCCAGTAAATATGCTTGTAAGCGAAATATTGCTTGAAATTAAGTTACGCGTAGATAAAGGCTATCCCGGTCCAGAACAAATAAGAAGCCGGTCACTGTTTCTACGGTACTAATAATAAACAAATCAATAATCCTCCATGCAATCAAACAAAATCCCTACAAAACCAATACTTGAAAATTATATATACGACAAACCTTAACGGTTTCAAGAGTACAAAGCACAACGCTTAACAGAAAATAAGGTACCGCGCTATCAGAGCGGAATAACGTTAAAGCCAAAATTACGAACTAGCCGGAACCAGACACGACCGTTCAGGTAAGCAGTCAGTAGAAGAATGAGCCGAAGTAAGGCATGGCATAAAACAGAGAGCGATTAAGAGAGATAGATCGAGCATAGGCACAAAGAGAGAATTTAATTGGCTACTTAACCAGGTAGGAGAATACAGATGAAGATCAATAAATAAGATAAACTCGACAGAATAGTACAAAGTAAGACATGGGTCAGCAAAAATAACAGTTCACAAAATACTCTGATTGGGTCATGAGTTCAACTGTCTGACTAAACGGATCGAGGTAATAACACATACACACAGTTCATCAAACAATAGGGGATAGACATGTTAGGCATGGATAATTGGGTTGCAACAACGCTAGGCTGATCCGGGACAGGTTGACTTGATTCAAGGATGGGGAATTGAATTGATCTTACAATGCTACCATCTACTTTTCTAACACCTTCAAACACTGTTCAATTTTGGCTTTGCTAACCGACATGCTAATATGTTGTTGTCACAACTAACTGAGATTAACCTTAATCTATGTAAAATTTTATTTATTGATAATGTACCAACTGGATGCAATACTGTTGTATAATGCTGAGAATTCCATTCTGTATCGCAAGTAACTGTTTTGGAATAAAGCATATTATTATTATTGCTGTGAACGTGTAAAGGTGGTTTAAACTCCCTGATAGCTAGCTAGGGCTTTCACAAACTTCAGGATCCACCACAAACACGTTTTATAGATAGGTTTAAAAGACGTGTAAACATCAAGTTAAAATCCTGTCTCTATAATATATATCTCGCGATAGAGGGGTTATTTATTTATTTAAACGCATAAAAAACTTGGTACAATATGGCACCAAGAAAGATGCGCCACACAATAATAATAAAACAACATAGATCAAAAAAAGGAAGGAAGGAAAGAAAAAATATATATAAGTAGAGAACGGATAAAGAACTTCATCTGGAAGGAAAACAGTCATGCTTAACAAGTTCAAACAGTGTTCGTTAGCTATCATCGGGAAGGGAAGAAAGAAGGAAATCGCAACACATTCGCCACTGATTACGATTCTTGGCCATATCCGATAACGTTTCGAGCCATCGATTTGAGCTATCTCTCGGACCCCAACCAGGGAGTCGTGACACACCAACCGATGCTAATCTAGCACAAAAATCCTTCATCCCACGACGCCACGTCATGGACTGACCACCTCTCCGCCTTTTCCATCCCGTCCCAGGGCTAGCGAACATTCACATCACATGTCCAAGCCACCGGAGCCGGTGTTTCCAGATGACGACATTCAATGAATGGTGATCTCCACTTTGTTCAAACACACGCCGCCGAACCTCAGAATTACTCACGCGATGATGCCATCGAACGCAAGCAATCCTGCGGAGACAGCGGTGATCGAACACGCAGAGTCGCCGCACATCCTCAGCTCGGAGAGGCCAGGTTTCACAGGCGTAGAGCAGCGCAGCCCACACCGAAGCATTGTATACCCGACCTTTGACAGCCAGGCTAACGTCGCGACGGCGCCAGAGGTGGCTCAAGTTGATGTATGCCACCCTAGCCTTCATTATACGGTTGGAAATCTCATCCGTCACCCCTCCGCCAGCACTCACACAACTACCCAGGTACACAAACTTATCAACAACTTCAAGCGGTTCACCCGCAAGAGTGAGTGCAGGTACAGGCTCCTGCCAATCTTGTAACAGTACTTTGCACTTAGACGGCGCAAAGCACATACCATACTTACAGACACTGATCGCCAACTGATTAAGTGCGATTTGGGCAGCCTGCATGCTATCGCACAGTAAGACGATATCGTCTGCATACTCGAGGTCGAAAAGTCTATCTCCAGGTAGCAGATCTACACCACCTTCACGCACATCCTTCAGAGCTGACTCCAGAATGTCATCGATGGCAAAGTTAAAGAGAAATGGAGAGATTGGGCAACCCTGTCTAACCCCACTGTTGGTTGGGAACAGTGGTGATAGTTGGTTGTATGCCCTCACTCTACCTGAGGTGTTTCTGTATAGGGCTTTCAGGATGTTAACAAATTTCTCAGGTACACCTCTCTCTAACAGACAGTTCCAGAGCACAGTTCTGTCCAACGAATCGAAGGCAGCCCTAATATCAAGAAACACAACGATCGTTGGCCTGCAATACGTGTGGCGGTGTTCCAACAACTGACGAAGGGTGAACACATGATCAATGCATCCACGACCTGAACGAAACCCAGCCTGCTCTTCGCGAATCAATCCTTCACGTATTTTGCACAGTCTGCGAAGCAAGACAGCAGCCAATATTTTAGACGCGACTGGTAACAGACTGATACCCCTATGATTGTCACACGAATTACGTCGACCCTTTTTAAAGATGGGGACGATAATGGCTTCGTTCCACATTGATGGTACACTCTCTGTCTCCCACACCTTCCTGAACAACCCAGTTAGAGCCATTGTGAGAGTCTCGCCACCATCTTTAAAAAGAGCCGGGGGTAATTTGTCTGGGCCGGGCGCCTTATGGCGTTTCAGAACTTGGAGTTCCTTACGGACCTCCGCTTCGGTGGGTGGGTCGGTACTAACCGACCAAGGAGCACTCGGGCTAATGATAGTAGACACTGAAGCGATAGAGGGGTTAGGTCGCCTGTTCTCACAATTAAATGGTTCTGGGGAATCGATTTACTTCTGAAGCCATTTAGAAATATGCTCTGAAGGAAGCCTTTACTCGCAGAGATCAATAAGTCCTCCTTATGTGTGTATGTGTGGCTGCACGTACATTTAAATTGGTATATATTTAGATGAAATATGATCCTAAGTAATGATTAAGGATATCGACTCACTTAAAATGCACAACTGTGCATCGGTGGCACAGTGGTTAGGACTCTCGCCAACCATGTACATAGTCCGAGGTTCGATCCCCTGCCAACCCTCACCTGATATCTATGGTCGGCCTGCAAGATTTGGGCTACCGATATCACATACTGAAAGTTCCATACTTGTACCATAAATACGGCATGGAATCAAGCTGTAATAAAAAAAAAATAAAAAATACACAACTGGGAGTCATTTCCGTTGAGCTTCATAAAAACATGTATGACTCATAATATTGATAAATTATATACAGAAACTGTTAGCCAAAATCAAGTATTCTCTGTGTGTTTATCTGGTATTAAGTGTTGATCGTAAAAATTTTGATTACCTTGAGAAAATATTCTCTAAACTAACTGACATGATACTTATCAACACAGCGTGTATATGCTGACTGTTTTTCCTCCGTGTTTCAAAATTGCCTCATTTGCAGTCGAAATCAAAGAGGTTATCTGTCATAAACTAAGAGTTAGATGACCTCCTCTTGGATAAGACTGGATGGTGGAATTGAATGAAAGAAGAAATCACAAAGTTCTGTAAAAGAAACTATATTCAAATATAGCGCAAAATATTCATTCAGACATGTATAAAAACACAAAATAATAGAGCCAAAAATATTCTTTTCGATTTTATTTTATTTTTTTTTTATTTTTTGATTACAGCTTGATTCTTGACCGTATTTTTGGTACAAGTATGGGATTTTCAGCGTGGATATCGGTAGCCCAAATTTCGCAGGCCGACCATAGATATCAGGTGTGCGTCGGTGCGGGCTCGAACCCCGGACCATGTGCATAGTCGGCGAGAGTCCTAACCACTGTGCCACCGACGCACAAAACTCCTCTTCTGGCTTTACAATTATATATATATATATATATATATATATATATATATATAGACTATTCTAGAATAGTAGTCCATAACAATATTAGTGTTTTTTTTAAAAATAATATTGATTTGTTAAGTAAGATCACGATGGAATTACAGTTCATTAAAGATGCTTAAATTATGATGATGATAATAATAATAAAGATATAATAGCAAATAGAATATCAACTAAAATTAAGGAAATTTCTACAAAAAAATTTGAGGATCATTCAAATCTAGATGGCCAAGGTAAAGACAATGTCTGAACTAACTTCTTTTGGATGCACAAATTAGGCTTGTTAATGTGGATTCCAACAGCCTCAGCAATATGCAGTTAACGAACTCTTAAGGCGAAGTGAAGATTTTTTGGTATGCAGAAAGTGACTTTGAAAGCCGCCTCGTTGAAATCAATCTTGTGTTCTGTATCTACAAGATGGGATAGAATAGCGCTACGACTAGATTTTTCTTCGCCCTTTACTTAACCACGCGGAGTGAACTTATCAGAAGTCAGCATTTAAATACTGTTCTTCGGGAAATGTTTCACCACCCAAATCGCAAGTATGACTGATTCTTGTTCAAATAATTCAAAGGGTATATATTTTACCACAAGAAAACGTAGTTGCAACTGATACGCAACAATAGCATACCTCTAATCACAGTCTTCATATCAATATGTTCTAAATACACAAACTTTTTTATGACCCTTAATATACTTGGTAATTTGCGCTAACGAACTTCCTACCTAGTCTATTTACGAGCCTACTGTTCTAATCAACATTAGCAGCAACAAAAACAACGCGGTATGACACGATACCACCGTATCCGCAACGCAAGAAGACAGACTTCTGACGTAGAGAGATTTTACTATCTCGAAACAACAGCGAAAAAGACTGACACCACTTGCACATATATACATATATACTTTAAATGACCTTGGCATACACTAATTGCATTAATAAGTTGAGACAGTCAACGACCAATAGGGTCCCAAGGTCACGAATGTTGAAGGGTGGGATAACAGAAGTATTATAATGTAGTATTTCAACTCTAATGTGAAGTTAGTGCTGCTCACTATACGGATCAGAGACTTGGCGCGTCATAAAGAGCACCTCAAACAAACTGCAGACCTTCATCAACAGATGTCTTCGCTCAATACTACTCAAGATCAGATGGCCAGAAAAGATCACCAACAGAGATATCTGGCAATGAGCGAACCAACTAGGAACCGACTGTGAAACAAATAGGCAGGAAGAAATGGAGATGGATTGGCCATATTCTAAGGAAACAAACCGTCAAGTGACATCACTAGACAAGCCACTGCTCAAGTGCAACCCGAAAGGGAAGTGGCGAGTTGGTCGTCTGTGCAAGGATGACTTGGAGGAGATGAAAGCATGCGGGCAGACTTGGAGCGGAGTGAAAACTCTAGCAGAGAACCGAACGCACTGGAGACGTGCAGCTGAAGCCCTACGTTCCTCTAGGAACTAAAGGAAATAATAATAATAATAAATAATGTAGTATTTTAGAAAATAAATAGGTCTATATGTAACAAGTTCGACATCAGGCTATCACACTCAACAAAGTGAATGTATTTTAATAACCATAAATGGGATTCGAGTTATCATACATAAGTAATTCATTCCGTTTTGTAATGACATTACCTTTGCGCCAGATAAATCACTAGTACCACTTTCAGATCAGGTTAAAATATTACGAAGAGAGTGATAACCCGACACTACACATACTACTGATCATTGTAAAATGTTCGAAATCAGTGACATTAACAGACAGTCACACGACTGTTTTACCCAATTAGTATCGAACCCTCTAGAAGTGATTTGGTTTATGAATACTACAAGTTTATGTTAGAGGTAAATAGTTAACTTACATTAAAGAAAAGAGAAGCGAAATTATACTAAGAACGTTACTCTGCCCATGGTAGAGCGAGTGAATGTATGGATTGCTTTAGAATGCAGAGATCCTGTTCGGAAGACACGATAAAGAATGAGTTACGTTTATTACGTGAAACCCTACTACAGAACGGGTAACCGCAAAGATTCATAGACAAAAACACGAAAGAAAAGCCTCCATCGCCAAAAATCACAACTGATCTTAAGCAAAAAAAAACTCTTTTCATTAACCTGAAATTCGAAGCTGACATTAAAGCAGAAATTCTTAGAAACTGCCTTTCTAAATATCTGAGGTAGACATATCAAGCAGCCACCTTATGCATCACATTTGCCAGCAGACAATTGATTCCTTAAGGATAAGATACCGCTCCTAACCAACTCAATGTGTATTTGTTAGTTTAATTGCTCGTGTGAAGTAAGGTGTATCGGCCGTACTCAACGTCAAGTCCACAAACTTACTCTGGAACGTCGTCCAGGGGAGAAAAGAAAAATACTAGCAGCTCAATCTTCGAACACCTTGTCCTCTCTGGACGTCGAGCATCCAACGCCCAATGAATGCTTCACAGTGCTACATATCGTACAAAGGGACTTCGCATATTCCATCTGTACATAGGTGAATCGTTGGCTATTCGGGATCTGAAACCGGACCACTGCATTCAAAAGCGCTGCATACATTCACTCGCACTACCGTGGCCATAGTAACGTTTTTACTATAATTTTGCTTCCTTTTATTATGTAAATTTATTATTATTGTTATTATTCTCATCACCCACATTTTACTATCACTCTATTACTGTTTATTAATCACATTGAGTTTTCATACAGATTTCACGTAAAGACATTTTATCGTCTTTCCACTAGTTAATTAGTCATTACCTGACACATATTACGTCATGCCAAATTTTGCCCCCTTTCTTAATTTCCAATTAGTCACCCCCTCCAGGTTATACATTACATTGAGTATGACATTTTTCAAGGACAAATTTTACCAGTATCTGATTGGTACTATGATATCTTTGTTAAACATAATTACGATTGTACAGCGGCTCATGAAAATGAACAATTATTTCATCCAATTTTAGATTTTCCCGTCGATCGATTGAACCAAAGTGCTCAGGGTCTTAGGTTGACATGTCTGTCGGCTTCTTGTGCAGGAGCTTCAACGATATTCGGGGCATATAATTAGAATTTAATTGGTATATGGTGACTGACTAGTCTGTCTGTCTGTTTTCGACATAGAACTTTGCACAAATGTGCGGAAGTTCAAGTCGCCACACATCGTTTTTAGTGGACGCAGAGTGGAGAGGAAGTGGAGAGCTATCAAGTCGAGGAGTTGCATCAGTGGAAGGAAGGCAAGATGATAGAGATGAAAACAAAGATGAGTGAGTAGTAGAGAGGTTTCACGTGCGTTTCGGATTGTGAGGGCGATTGTTACTTCCCGGCTGCCCACACCGTGGAAGTTGGTTGCGTAACCGCAGAGCCCAGGGGACAACTGCTTGAGGCCGGTCACACGCGGCCTGTTTTTGTTTGTTCTCTTTTGTTTGGTGTGCCTCAGTAGCATACTTATCGCTCCTGCCCTGTGACACGGCAGCAGGAAGCGCGGTCGTTGTTAATCCGGGCCACGGCCGATCCGGCATGAAATTTTGTGATTTTGTATTGGTCATGATGTTAGATTGGGTAGCTGCTTTTTGTCTAACCGCTATCCAAACAACCTTCCTGGCATGGTAGGACCTCAAGAGACTTAAGTCTCAGCCAGTATAGCTTGAATAGATCATTGCGGTGTTCAAGCCCGACCACCACGTCAAGGTAGCAGCTTTCGGTCGGGACTGACTAGTAGTGTATTTCGAGCCTCGGTGGAAGCATCATCACTCACTGTGGAATGTAGGTACATCCAGCAAATTGACGAGTCCCAAATAGGACGAAATGCGCCTTGTCATGAATTCCACGGCTAGTCACCATCCAACGGTTAACTTCTAAAAAAAACAATTATGGTTATATTTTACCCTCATTGAATGGTGTTTTTTTTTAAATAACTAGTTGTATCGTGTTTGTAGTCACATTGTAATACTTTAAAGACGTCAAATTCTTATAATATTAATGTCTCTTTTTCCCTCAAAAAATTACAGTTGAAAGAACCAGGTCAATATGCAATACTTGCTGTAATAAATCCGTATATGCTGGCCTCCTTAGTGGAAATAGTAAGGTGAGGAATACATATTATCTTTTAGTATTTAAATTTAAATATTTAATTTTATTCCTTTACTTCTTAAATGAAACATAAGACTGTAAGCTAGAGTTTTGGAATTTCGGTAACAGTAGTGTTTTCTATTTTTTCATGGAGGGGAATGGTTGTTAGTGTCACGTACCACCTTCGCTCTTTCCTGGCCTTACTTATGAGAATAGTGAAGTTTAGGAGAGTGCATCGATCGGTCAGGGATCAAACTCCAGACAACAAGCGCGGCTAGCAGGCGTTCTACCGCTCAACCCACTAACGTATTATTGATAAAAGTATAAAACTTGAGTACTGTGGTAGAGCATAACTCCATTATAGATAAGACTTTATTTTGATAAATCACACACAGTGTTGTACAGTAATATTTACTCATGACCACGTTTCGAGCACAAACTGTTCCCACACATTATCATATCAAGGTACTCACTCACGCAGCTTCCTTCCTTCATTTATATACATGTGTGAAATCGATTAGATATTGGAATAAAAATCAATATGAGATAATATACATTCAGAAATTATAATACGAGTGTTGCAGCGAAGAAAATTTTCTTTTCGACGAAGTCATCATCTAGATAGCTGTACATTCGTGTATTTATATCAAATGGATGGGAAAGTTCTAGAATAATATCCGGTCAAGGGTCAAATTAATAAAAATTAAAATTGGGAATTAGAACATGCTTAATCTAGAATTCAAAGGTGATATTGAAGCAGAAATCCTTCGCAAACGCCTATCAAAATCGCTGAGGAAAACATACTTCGCCGCTAGCCTACGACTGACGTTTTCCTGCAAGAAACTGTTCAGCCAGAACGCGAAAGACAAGCTGTCGCATTGGGCCACCTCAACGTGCATATACCAGTTTACTTGCTCTTGTGGAGCTGAGTACATTGGCCGTACCATGCGCTGACTTGAAAAACGCGCTCGTGAACACTATCCAGCCTGGCTGGTAAAAGGAGAACGAAAACGGGTAAATAGTTCGGTAACAGAACAACTGGTGAATTCAGGACATTCAGCGCCACTCAAAAAATCCTTCAAAATCATTTACAAGATTCGATCGAACCTATCAAAGGGAGTGAAATCAATACATCTCAGAATAGCCGAGGCGCTAGCTATACAAAAGCTCAAACCCACGCTTTGTATACAAAAGAAATACGTCCAACCCCTGTCCTTTCCATGGCCATCATAAACAGGTAATTTTTAGTAATCACCATCCCATCGCCTTTCTTATCCAAACTTCCTGTTTATTCTTGTTATTTCAAGTTTTTCTTAATCCCTGTTTACACTACCATATTTTCATACCCGAACTTCGTGTTTATTTTTTCACTTTACTATTTATACATATTTAATCCCTGATTGCATAAACAATTATTCATCACATTAGTTTTTATCCAAACATCCTGTCTATTTTGTTATTTCTACATTTCTAACCCCTAATTGCTCAATGTCAGTCTTCTTAGTTATTATGATGCTACTTTGTTTGTTTTATTCATCTCCCTGTTTATTATGGCATTCTAATTCCCAATTTTAATTTTTATTAATTTGACCCTTGACCGGATATTATTCTGGAACTTTCCCATCCATTTGATATAAATACACGAATGTACAGCTATCTAGATGATGACTTCGTCGAAAAGAAAATTTTCTTCGCTGCAACTGTCTTCTTATTTGCTCCTATGACCCAATGTGTATATTCCGTAATACGAGTGTTATTGACCAATTACGGGCAGATGGGAAATAAGACGGGAATATAAGTCATCTCAGCTATTATACCATATAACGAGGGAACATCTGAGACCCTACGTAGGATTCTTAATAGAGCAGGAATAAGAGTAGCATTCAAACCTACAAACTCACTCATAAACAAGCTCTGTAGGTTAAGAGACCCGGTGGACCCAATTAGACAAATTAATATAATTTACAAAATACCTTGCAATGACTGTGAGTTAAGTCAACTACATAGGTCAAAGTAGTAGGTCGGGAGTGGTCAGATTGTCAGAACATAAGAACTTACCTCAGGTTAGAATGAATGATCCCACAAAAATAAGTAATTTAGAAAAGGGCTCAGCAATTGCACTTCACGCATTAACACACAAACACACAATAGGGTGGCAGACGGTTAAAATTCTAAAATGTAATCTAGGTAGATGGGGAGAGAGGTTGATTACTGAATCCTGCTTTGTTCACCGAGTCTACACACTCAACACAACACATCCAACAGAAATGACTCAATGCAAATACCGCAGATATGCATGGAAGATATTATTACCGCCGGTCAAATTAGAAGAGGAAAATAAATAATCTTAAAATTCTATTTCAATTCACACACATCACAACATTCTAACAAGTAACTTATTATGACTATGAAAACACTCGTCTTATTTCCCATCTGACTGTGATTGATCGATAACATTCATATTATTATTTCTGAATGTACATTATCCTCTACTGGTTTTTATTCCAATATCTAATCGATTTCACACATGTATATAAATGAAGGAAAAAAGTTGTGTGAGTAACTTGATATGATTATGAGTAATAGTTTGTGGTAAAACGTGGTCATCTGTTAATATTAATCTACAACACTGTGTGTGTGTGATTTATCAAAATAAAATCTTATCTCCATAATGAACCACCAGCCCACAGAATTTGTGATGGAAGTTGGTTGACGAACGACTGAACCTAGAGCTAAGCCTACAGGAAAGGCAATTTAGGCGTGAGACACAATTAATCCAAACCCCCTATAAAAATAAACATCACTGTTATCGAAAATTCAAAGTTCTAACTTGAAGATACCCTATATCCAATTAGAACGTAATGGAAAATAATTGTAATTAACATATATATATCAAGGTGAATACAAGACATTTATTAAGTTTACTTTTTTATTTCACACAGTGAAGAATCAGGTGCAGACAGTACAACAAATGAAAACATGAACAGTGTATACATTTCAGATGAATATCAATCGGTAAGTGTGTAAGATAAGATAAGATAAGGTAAGCTTTATTCCAAAACAGTATTCGTGATACAGAATGGAATTCTCAGCATTTTACTACAGTATATTGCATCCAGTTAGTACATTAACAATGAATATAGTTCTACATAGATTAAGATTATCTCAGTCAGTTTTGACAACAACTTATTGGCATGTCGGTAGCAAAGCCAAAATTAAACAGAATGTTTGAAGGTGCTAGAAAAGTAGATACCAGTAGCATATTTACTATCGTAAGCGGTAAGAAAATGGCCGAGATATACAGAGTGTGAAAGAACGAAGAAGAATGTTTTAAGTAGAGTTCGTAAGGAAGAGAGAAACAAAACAGCACTTAACAAAATAAAGACAAAAAAAGGTAGAGAGAATGGAAAAGAGAGAAAACGGTGTACCTATAACGGATATGAGTTGGAAAAACGAGATCCAGTTGTTCAACTGACTATTTAGTAAGTTAAAGGCTTCACGCCTAATGCTTTCTTTATCGCACAGAACACGAGCCGAGTAGGGTACGGTTGGGTTTTTGTACTTACTAGTGCGGGCATATAGTTTCCTATGTAGGCTTCTGGTTTTCCCTGAAGAGATACAAGGGGAGTGTTGTGAATGAAGAGGGTGTTGTGAGTTAGATAGATAGAATGGATTTCGCCCATTTTTCACATGAGTCCATGTGCCTGTCCACCAGAATATCAACAAGCTGGCTGAGTGGCACGTAGCTTACCCTGCTGACAGCCTTTAACATCCTACGTAATAAGGTATAGTCTTTCTTCAATAGCCAGCCCAGGAAAGACTAAGGGGGAACAATAGAGAATAATAGGCAGAATACGGGAGTTAACGAATTGTAGGAGTAAGGGTTGGGTTATACCAGAATGTCTTAACTTCTTGATGTAGAAGGTAAGACGGAATATTTTCTTAGAAATCATCAAGATATGAGATGATCAGGAAAAATCAGAAGATAGAGTGACGCCTAGGTATTTAATTTCTGACTTGGTTTCTATTTCAGTGCTATCCATCTATAATGCACACCTCGTGAGTGCTAGCCAGTTTGTTTAGGTCAGATTTGTGCCTAAAGGTGAAATTAACTGTTTGGCATTTGGAGGGGTTTAAGGTGAGACCGTTTTCCTGGACCATTGGCTGACTTCTGATAAAAAGCCGTTTAGTTTAGAGCAGTCACTTTGACATTTGACAGGCAAAGACACAGTCAGGTGGTCAGCATATTTGGCAAAATTAATGTCATTTGAAGATGGTGAGTCATGTAGAGAGAAAGCAAGAAAAGAGAATTGGGGAGAATACAGCACCTTGGGGGACATCAGCTTCAGTGAGCACAGCAGAGGAGGATTTGCCTTTATATACGGTGTACTGCATTCTGTTTGAAAAGTAGGAATGCAACCAGTAAGATATGCTGTATTGAATTCAAATACTCTTCTTATTACTTATCAATTCACAATACAATTCTGTCTTTATTTTTACGAGTTTGACCACGCATTGATGTCAGTTAGAGAACCATTGGAAGTTACCAGAGAGTATTGGACATTTGTGTCACCCTAGTTTCTGGGAATCATTGGCAATACATACCCGCTGGGGTTCAAGCCCAGAACCTCCAGGTTACAAGACAAGCTAGCTCGTATATCATTCAGCCACTGGGATCCAATTCAATGAATGAATTTCCCATCGATGATATTGGTTGGTAGTCGCGCTAAATCACGAATTGGTAGAAGTTAGAATTCATGGTCTGGCAATTGGATAGGAATCCCAGTGGCTTGTATTGTGTAACCGGAAAGTCCTGGATTCGAAAGCTGGCGGTGGGTGGGTGGGTACTGTCGATGATTTCCAAACTAGTGGAATATAACAGAGCTGTCCAGTAATCCCTGGTTTTTAATGGTTCTGTTGTAACAACAGAAGACAAGGGCCAGGCAACAGATCGTTTTATTATGAAAATCAACACGTATTTATACATATTTCACATACATTATTATAGCTCATGCAAGTAGACAAGCGCAGTCATCTGATTGGTTGTTTATCAGAAGTTAGGCAGACAAACGCAGGCTTCTGATTGGTTGTTTCGGAATTCCTCGACAAATAGAGTTCTCTATCTGCGAATCATATTTTGCCACGTTAACTTTGATGTGATTGGTTGTTGAATCAGCCTTGCTCCTATTTTCTCACGGCCTGTTCTCACCACACTGGTACTCCAACTGACATCAGTGCGTGGTCAAACTGGTAAAAACAAATTTAATCCTTACAAACTAACTCTTGAAAGTTGTATTTTAGTATATAAATAGAATTAGAAGTTATGATGCAATCGTTATTTTTAAAAGTCGATGCATTCATTCTTTGAATGGGATACAGGGCTTCAACCATATAGCTCCATTACAGTAGTTTCTGTGCCACAACACTTTCAGCTGGCTTTATAACTGCTCACAAATTTTTAATTTTCTGAGCAAATGATCTTCTCCATGCTGTCGCTTCCGATTTAGGTGCTACTCCAATCGAGGAGACAATTATGAAAAGTTATTCAAATGCAACTGAATGTATATTTTTATGTGTGTGCTGGACAATGAAACAAACAGTTTTTTTCTATTAACCATAATGTGCTAAACAATGTAACCGAAAACATCAAGGATTATTTTTATTTTATTTTTTGATTACAGCTTGATTCTACACCGTATTTTTGATACAAGTATGGAATTTTCAGCATGGATATCGGTAGCCCAAAATTCGTAGGCCGACTCTAGATATCAGGTGTGCGTCGGCGAGGGCTCGAACCCCGGACCATGTGTATGGTCGGCGAGAATCCTAACCACTGTGCCACTGACGCACAGGGAGGGAGAAGACAGGAATACCTTGGACTACCAATAAGAAGACTCTAGAAGATTCGGATTTCGTGGCTGGATGATCTATGTGTATTGTGTCACACAAACTCGAAGACTTACAGGCAGGTGAAAACCAACAAACTGGCTGAAGTGGGGCAGGTAGCGAAGACAAGACTCCAGGTGAACATTAGAAAAGATGGTGGAGGTGATGAAGATAACCAACAAAACGCCAAAAAACAACAACCAGCACTAATCACATTCAACGGGACAGATTTACAGTTTACAATTTATTTAGGATAGTAGGCTATATGCCTGTGTTAATCCTTTCGATTTATTGCATACAGGAGGTCCAATCTCGCCTTGAATGAATCAACGGATGGCGCTGATACGACGTGTTCCGGTAGGGAGTTCCAATGGTTCACAATTCGATGCGAAAAACGGATTTCCAGACGCAGACGATTCGACCGTGGTTTTTGAACCTTGAGGTGATGTCCTCGCAATTGGTTGGTGCTAGAAGGAAGAAATAATTTAGATAAATTAGCTCCAAAATCATTTCTTAGGATACGGTATGCTAGTATTAGGTCACCCCTAAGTCGTCTGTATGACAGTGGAAATAAACCCAGTCGACTTAACCTCTCCTCATATGACAGGGTTGAGAAACCCTTTATTAGCTTAGTTCCTACTCTTTGCACCCTTTCTAATAAGTCTATTTCGTATTTGAAACACGGGCTCGCTGCCTGGATCCCATATTCCAAATGAGGTCTGATATAAGTCGGATATAATATACGAAATATATCAGCGTCAAAGTTCGCAAAAGCCTTGCGTATGGCCCATAACATTCGAAAACCCTTAGTGGCTGCAGTTCTACAGTTTGTTGCTGTTTTCAAGTCATGCTGCACAACCACTCCCAAGTCCTTGTACTCAGTGACCACTGGGAGAGTAATGCCATTCATTGAGTAATTGTGCACGTGACTATGGGATACATGCATAACTACACTCTTGCTTAAGTTAATCTCCAAGGCCCAGTGCTTACACCAATCACTTAACAAGTTTAAATCTTCCTGCAAAGCAAGTTGATCACTGTCATCGTGCAAAGCCCTCCATATCTTGATGTCATCAGCAAACAGTAAGCAGGATGACTTAACTACCGATGGAATCTCATTAACATAAATCAGGAAAAGAAGTGGGCCTAGAATTGTACCCTGAGGAACGCCACTCTTAACCGATTCCCATGTTGATAAAACCCCGTTAACTCGTACTCTTTGTCTTCTGTCCTTTAGAAAGTCTTGAATCCAGTCGGTAACCACTTTATTGATTCCCAGACTACCTAACTTTACTAGAAGACCTGAATGAGAAACCCTGTCAAACGCCTTGCTAAGGTCTATGAATATGGCATCCACCGGTATATTAGCATCAGCTGAGCTTGCCCAACTTTCTCTGGCCAAAAGAAGGTTGGTCAAGCAAGAATGACCTGCTCTAAAACCGTGCTGTTCCACAGCGAAAAGTTTGTTCCCTTCAATGAACTGAATGATAGCATCACGAATTATTCTTTCTAGTAGTTTAACAACAATACTGGTCAAACTAACAGGACGATAGTTCTGAACTAACAGAGGTTATTTATTACTTCCTTCATTCATCTTGGGAAGCACGGTTTCAAACCACAGACGGAACGGATGAAGATGTCAACACCAGTCAACCAGAATCGGAAAGGGAAGATGCACCTTCATCAACTTGAAACCAGTTTAGAAATCTTCTGCACTCACAGTTAGCATTATATTATAGAACAAGATTCGGAATTTTTAACACCAATGTTAAGTCGGTCCTTCTATTACAGGTCAGATACGCGACCAGTAGTGTTTCACGAAAAGCATTCCCAACAGGCTGTTGCAGATTTTTATCAACAGCTGCCTTCGCTAGCTCCATACTGAAGATCAAATAACCGGCCGGTTAGAAAGAATCTTTGCCTATAAACAAACCAACCAAGAACCTGTCATGTACGAGAAAATGGAGATGGATTGGGCATACATTGAGGAGGCTTTAGAATGTCATCCCGCGTAATACAGGCGATTACTCGAGGGGAATCCCCTAGTGGGAAGCGACGAATGGATCATCGGAAGAGATCGTGTTGTGAGGAGATGAGAGATTATGGGCAATCGTGAACCCAGATGAAGAGGAAGGTAGGAGATAGAAGAAAGTGCACATGTGTTGTTGAAGCCTTATGTTCCACTCGGGACCCAAGGTAGGAATAATAATAATACCAAGGACTAGACATATAACACTAGTTACTGACTAGTGCTCAATCAAGATATCAAATACAGTCAGTCCCACAGGAGGTCGATCGTGAGCTCGAATAGCTCAGTGGTAACATCTACCTGACTGTGACTGCAGCATTGGGTGATATGGGTTCGAATCTCAGAAGGGATATGAGTTTCTTCAAGGTAATTGCAGATAGGCCTTTCTGACTGGTGATTGCCAACTAACACGAAATCTAGGTTCAAGTCTTCCTGCCAATTACCTCCAACCATTTAATATCGACATTTCAAAGTTCACGGTGATGTCGAGTCACCTAGTGGCGCATGGTAGCCACATTGCAAACCTGACTGATTGATAGAATTCAGTCTCTAGCAAACAAAGGATTAAAAACATTATACTAGCTACTAACTAGTTTCCCCAATTAAAGTGTGATTTAAGTTTGCAAAGAGTTACAGGCTAAACAGAAGTCAGTTGTACGTTCAAGTCGCACTGAATTTGCAATTCTACGCCCTGTGCGTTCACCATTCACATATAAAATCAAAATTTAAGGTACAGATCCGACAAAATATGTAACAGAAGTTGAAATCCATGGGTCTTTGGATAGGGTCCCAGTGTCTGAATAGCATGCGAACTCGCTAGTTCGCCTTGTTACCAGGACGTCCTCAGACCAAACCCCGGTGGGTGCATTCAGATGAAGAGTCTCAGACTAGGACGAAGCAGTTGTTCAGTACTCCCAGGTTTTCCAATGGTTCACTAACCGATGTTAGCACACGATGAAACCCTGTTACATTATTTTTGTTGATAACCTTAATTCCTTCATTATTATGGATGGATATATATATATATATAACTGTAGAACTTGACAAAGAGCAGGTCATCCAAAATGTGAATTATTCTTTGTTCAGTCAGTCATCAGTCTTTTGAAAAATGAAGTCTATAGTGGATGAATTAGTCACCTTTATCATAACCATATATCCAGCTTCTTCAGGCACACACAGAGCAGGGATTCTGTGTTTTAAAGGAGACAGTCTTCTGTAGACATATATTCACTCTGTAAATAACTTCAAATAATGAGACGATTGAGATATTATGACAAATATTGAATTATTCCACTTCTAAAAATACCAACTGCATCTCTCTTTTGACTAAACAGAGTTGTGAGTAATTACTTCTATTACGTTCCGAGTAGAAGATAGGATTTCGAGCTTGGAGCTTAGAAGTTTCCATCTTAACCTGACTAACTGATGACTAAACGAGGTTAAGGAGTCAGTCAGCTAGGGATCGAACCCCAGTCAAAAGTGATCAGTGTTCTCTAGCTCATTTAGAAAGGACATGCAAAAAAAAAGTAACCAAAAACAATCAACACTTCACAGGAGCACGATGTGAATGCAGTGGACATCTACACGTTACCAGGTGTACAACTGTAGGGAAGAGGATACCTTGTTTTTTTTTAGATAGTCTATTTATTGCCTCCTTTAATCTTACTACCTTTTAGTCTATTGACAAGCTGGTGCCAATTCAATCATTTCTACTGCCAATATGTCGAATTACAAACGAATAACGGTAGACTTTTGGAGGTATAAATCAACACCAAAAAGAAGAAGAAGAACAACAACAACGTTGTATGCATTTAAATGAAAATGTACGCGTTTGTGTGTGGAAATATAAATACGAATAGAAACAAACCACCGACTGAAACAATTGTACATTGAATGCGCATATATGTATATGTATATTATAAATAATTAATAATAGTAATAATAATAATAATAAGAGTAAAATATAAAGTTCTTCAGTTAAAATTACCAACTAAAACTTTTTAAAATATTGATACGTTAAAATACAAATACAAGTGTATAGGCAAAATCAGGGACCAATAAAAATCCTAATTACCTACTGCTAATACTACTGATATTATTTTTATTATTATGCTTTTTTGAGAAGAGGCAGGCGACAGGAAGGAAGAAAGGAAGGGGAACACCAAGGGGTGGGGAACAACAACAGCGATAATAATAATAATAAAAGCGGGATAAGATATCACAGTACGAGAATCACAGAAAAAGACAAAAAAAATAGAGAAGTCATCAAATATCCACCATATCACTGTTCATAACTAACTAGTTATCCTTTTTCAAACGGATTGATTCTGTTGTCTAGGTTGATTCTGAAACGTCCGTGGATAAGTGAAAATGTCATAAAAAAAAGGTAAAAGAGGTGTGTGAATTGAAAGTTAGTCAGCAATAACACTCATCCATCCATAAATAAAAATGTAGCCTGAACAACAAAAACAAAACAACGACGAGAGAAAAACAGAAAACAAGAAAAAATTACATAATAAATTGTTTATTCATTAAATACATTAGTGTATTCATTGCTGCATTTAACTGAGATAAAATTTCTTGTAACCGAGGGATGACACATTCAATCTGTGAAATAAAAAAAAAGCGAAAAACGGCAAGCACACAAATGAGAAACAATAAGCAGATGCATATAGATATAAGCATAAATATTTATGAAAAACAGATGAATCATCCACATATGATGAGTAGGTAGGTAGAGAGAGATACACAACTCATTGGTTTTTTTCCCTTCAAGTTCCCAGTGGAACATAGGGCACCTTCAAGCTAGTGGCTTGAAGTTTCTGTAGCAGTGTTTATTTTTGCAGGATGTGATTGCTAGCCTCATGCCCAACCTTTCCTCTTTACCAGCATTATTTCTGGCTTAGAGAGGTAAAGGAGTGCGTCCTGTGGCCGGGGATCGAACCCCGGACAATGTGCATAGTCGGCGAGCGTCCTAACCGCTGTGCCACCGGCGCCCTAGTAGCGCAGTCAGTTAGTGCGTCAGTCTCATAAACTGTACTGTTGCAACTCATTGGTTTAAGTGTTTATAACTAAAAGTTAACCAGTGTCAGGTTGAAGCCTTCCGGTTACGAGGCGTGCTCGTAGGCCATTTAGCCACCGGAACCCAATCTAATGGCCAGTTCATGAATTTCAGCTTCTGCCAATTCACGCACTAGCCAATGTTATCCACGAGTATTTTGTCTCACACCCGACCTGCTATACCACACTGGTCACGACTTCTTACTCGAACTATATCGTGAATTGCCAGAAGTTGGAATTCATGGACTTGTCATTGGATCGTGTCCCAGTGGCTTAATGGTCTACGAGCCAGCTAGCCTTGTGATCGGAATGTCCTGGATTCGAACCCCGGTGGGTGAGTATTGCTGAAGAGACCTATACTAGGATGAAACAGTTACCCGGTAAACCTCTAACCCATGTCAGCTCATGATGAAAACCTGTAACCAATCAAATCCCTGCAAACCAACAACAACTGAATAATGAACTTTACCTTACTAAAACCTAAGCCGTTACTCACTTCCATTGTGTCGTTGAATATGTCGCGTCATTTCTTCCTGCCTTTAGAAACTGATTCTAAGTAACTATATGAAATTACGTCCCCGAACCTCCGATTGTCCAATAAAACATTTCTATACGTCTAATTATTACTATTCCTTTAGGTTCCAAGTAAAACATAGGATTTCACGGACACATCTCCGTATCAAGTATGGTCTGTGATGTCACTTCTAGCGCTGGATCTACGACTGCCCACGATCTCTTCCAAGTCATCCTCGGTGTCCACACTCTATGCATCTTTTTCCATTTGAGCGTTCCACTCGATGGCTTGGAGCATGATGCTCCTTACGAGTCTTCTCAACCTAAAACCAATCCATCGGAATTCCCTTCGGCATATATGTTGGTTCATTACAGTTCTTTGTTGGTATGGTAGTTGCCAGAGTTCCTTGTGACTTGCCTATCCTTCAGTAGCTATCTGATCTTCAGTGTAGAGCTACGATAGGTGTTGATGAAAGTCTGAAGTCTGTTTAGAAATGCTTAACTAAGTATAAATACGGATGTAAATTACAGCCTTTGAAGATGACTTCATCCATAAAGAGAATTTTCTTCATCACTTATGAATATGACAACCGGTTTTTCTAAAAATCAAATTATGCAACACGATTGAAGCAAGCAAATATGTGTTTTCGGTAAATTTTCATCAGGCTTCACAATTATATAATTAGATAGGCAGTCATAGATATTTGAAGCGATGTCGATTAATAGATTAATTGAATTTTAGATTTTCCCGTCGATTGATTGAACCGAAGTGCTCTGTCGGCTTCTGGTGCAGATGCTTCGACGATGTCTGGGCATGTAATTAGAAGTTGATTGGTGGATGGTGACTAGCAGTGGAATCCAGGATGCTTTGATATTTGAAACGATGGAGACTGGGAACGAGCCTCGGTGGGAACATCATCACTCACTAGGGAATGCAGGTACATCCAGATGACGAGCCCAAATAGGACGAAATGCGCATCCTGGATTCCACTGCTAGTCACTACCAACCAATTAAGTTATAACAGGAGATTACTTAGTGGATAACTATAACGATAATAATAATAATAATAAACTAAGAGTAAAATATGTAACTATAGCACAGTATGATAAAAATAAAATTTAAGGTTATCCAGTGTCACCGGAAGCGATAACTATGTTGATAATGACTGGTGTCCAACCAAAGTATCGAATACGGTCAGTCCCAAAGGAGGTCAGTCGTGAGGAGGAATAGCTCAGTAAGTAGGAACATCTCTGACTGCAGCACTGAGTGACGCGGGTTGAAACCTCTGAAGGGATATGAGCTTCTCCAAGGTTGCAGGTATACCTTGTTGACAAGTGCCTAATTAGCACGAAACTTAGGTCCAAGGCTTCTGCCAACTGCCTCCAACCATCCAATAACAATAATTCACAGTGTATCTTGATGGAGAGCCATCTAATGGCATGCTGGCCACACTGAAAACTTGACTGGCGATAGAATTCAATCTGCACTAAAGATAGGACTAGACACATTACACTAGTTTACTGACTAGTGTTCAATCAAAAGAAATACAGATAACTATTTTAAGTTGCGATTGAAGTTCATGTGATGGAGAGGGATTGAAGAGACTTTTTCTGAAGACAGAGATTGGGCTGAAACCTTTTCTTATGACGACTGATTCAGCTATGCTTAGCAAAGAAAAGTGGACATTGAGGTGGCACCACCACCTTGTATCGAAATGTAAAGGCGGCATTCTTTTTTTTATCAATCTTGTGATTCGTATCCACTAGGTGTGTGATAATATGGAACTCCTGATGACCGCGTTACGATTACTCCTTTACCTAACCATGTTGGACAATGTTCAAGAAGGAGGCGACAGTGAGCTTCCCAAGTCGTTTTACCTATCTAACTTTGATTCTGTTATAATCCAGATTGTTTCAAATGACTGTGACTGATATTTTATTCAGTCATATAAAAGAAAAGACGTTCAGTGAAGAGTTTTTACTCTTCTCAGCGATATCATGCTCAATCTGTACAATCGGATATGTATATTGTAAATTCTCTTAGCAACACAAGGAATGTTTTCTGTAGTTTGGTTTGTAAGGGTTAGTTATGTTTTTACGAGTTGATCACGGATTGATATCGGTTAGAGAACCATTGAAAACAACGAGGGAGTACTGCCAGACAGCTGCTGTTTCATCAGCCTAGTTTGGGAATCATCGGCAGTACGCATCCACCAAGAGGATTCGAACCCAGGACCTTCCAGTTACAAGGCAAGCTGGCTCGTATATCATTCAGCCACTGGGACCCGCCAATCCAATGGCCAGCTCATGAATTCTAACTTCTACCAATTCGTGATTTAGCGCGACCCCACCAACCACTGTCGTTGGTGGGACATCCATCCACACATGTGACATCTAATTGGACCTCACCAGTCACGACATCTCACAAGAACTCCAGGAAACTCCATCCTGTAGAAAGTCACTAGCAAGCATCAGACTAATATTTCCAAAGATGTGTCATTCGAAATGTCAATTTCAGATAACCAATTTTACGTAGTGTAGAAAGCGTTAATACGGTAGAAACTAAAATTAGAATTAAATGAGTAAACTGAGTGACGTAATACAATCGACGGTATTGAATAGAATTCAACTAAACTAGAACGACAGTAAAATTCACAACAGTGATAGTAAGCGGTAGAAATGCAATAGAGGATGAGGGAACAAAATACTGCAATTAAGAAACAAAAAGCCCAAAAACTACGTAATCAGTGCTTCGACAGATCAGACCCATTGTAGATTTAATGACTGAACAAAACTTTGTGCTTTGTGCAGAGTTCAGGATTTAATATGTGAACTGCCATAGCTTTTTGGGGTTTGATGAAGTTTGATTCGCCTTGTTTAGTAAAATTCCTATATATATTCTGTCGATGACTTTGAAGTTCCTTCCAAGGTGGGTTCGTTTGACGTCTAGATTTTATCAGGTGTTTCAGGATAGAGCTACGGGAGGATCTTTTTTCTCTTTTACAAAACTATGAGGGTAAGTGCTCGATGATACATTTGGACAGAAGACGCTGGATACGGCCGACATACCTAGTTCCACACGAGCAGGTGAATTTAGTAGATACACATTGATGAGGTGGCCAACAGTGGTAGCTTATCCTTCACGTTCATGAGAATCACTGATTTTGTA